AGGAATGGAGGGCTGAGGGTATGAGGGGTGAGGGGTGGGGTGGGGGAGGGGTGTTTGGATATGCTATTTAGTAAAATTCTCCCTGAAACCAAATCCAAACCGTCTTCATCCCAATGTACACTCAATTTTTCGTTTTCCAAAGACAGAGGTGGAGAGAAATGTGCAAAAGTTCCATGTTCTCACTGGAAAGAAGAGATTCAATGAAAACAGTGTTATTTAAAAGATGACGATTTCATTCATCCTTATTTACACATAAAATGGGAATGTTTTGTTTTTTTACCTTTCACATTCCCAAAAGGATGGTTGCGGTTTCTTTACACCTCAGCTTTTTGGCTGTTCTCCTCCACTTTCTCCTCCAGCTTTTTCTCCTCCTCAGAAGACCCGTTCTCCTTTTCACCAGTCTTCCAGCTTCCTTGCCTGTTTAGAAGAAAACACTGTTAGCTAGCATGCTGATAATCCTTCACTTTAGTCAGTATGAAAAAACAAACTGTACATGGCATGACGGTGCATTAAATGGAAGCTGCATGCATCTCTGTGCTATTAATATAAACTTACTATTTATGTGTTCATGATCAATTGCAAGATTGATTACCAGGTGAACAAAAGGGCTACTGCACCAAATCCCCAAGCGTACTTAAAAGCCCCAGATTCAATGAGGTAATTTGATTTTTTTTATTAATTCAATTAAAGGAAGATTCAAAGCTAGAAGAGAAGATCAATACCACTCTTATATCTGTCTGTCAAATGTGAAGCACGAGCAAGCAGCCAATTAGCTTAGCTTAGTAACAAGACTGAAAGCAGCAGGGAGAAAAACCTAGATCACAAATGTAACAGACATCTGCCTCTTAAACTCACCAATTAACACATTATATATTGTTTGTTTAATCTGTTCATTTTGTTTGTTTGATTATTTCTTAGTACTTAGTTGTTTCCTTCTGCTTCCAGTCTTTATGCTAAGCTAGGCTAACCACCTCCTGGCCTCATCTTAATATTTAATGTATAGACTTGAGCATGAATATCGATCTGCTCTTGGCAAGAAAGCTAATATGCATATTTCCCCAAATGTTGAACTATTCCTTAAATTGCTGTATGAAAATATAGTTTTCAGTTCATTAGTTTTCATCATACTCACATGGATACTATTACTAAATTGCTCCTCTCTGGACACATAATGAAGCTGAGATGTAATAGTTTTCTGTGAACTCAATGTGTATTTGATGGGAACTTGATGGGAATTGGGTATGCAATAAGAATATATCGCAAAGTTACTATCTGTATCTGTTATATAATAAAAAAATAATACTCCTTTTACATACATGTATTAGTTTAGCTACTCACAAAATAACATTTGCAACATAATATTTAAACCATGTACTTAAATTATTCAGACAATAAAGCATGATTTGTTCTGCACCTCTAAAAAATTATTTTAAAAAGTAAGAATAAACTGAGTTTAAAAAGCTGTGCAACTGTTAATATGATTATGTGAGAAAGCTATTGACAAAAAAGAGGTCATGTAAGTTCACTGGGCAACACTGCACGACCCCTGGGGGGGGGGGGGGGGATGAATTCGGAAATTCAATCATTTTATTAAGATTAGGATCATTTCTTACTTGGATTTCTTCATGTAGACCCAGTATGCCAGGGCTATAACAAGAGTTGCGATGAGGAGGCCGACTACAACTCCAACCACCAACTTGGTTTGGTCACTATCCTCTAATTGGTCTGTAACAAAGACAAAACAGAAACATCAGAGACCTGGGAGACACATTGCAGTATGAAACCCCAGCCTGAATGCATATGAATAAAGGGAGGGGGAAAAAGTCATATGTGCAATAAAAGCATTGATGAGTGGACACATCCGCACAGCACATGGTTATGACTCATCGAGTTCAATGACAGATACTTTTAATTAATGAATCATTTCATAAGCCAATGGGATTATGGGCAATGTTAACATTTCGTCAGGATGCTGGTAGCTCCATTCCTCTTATTCCTTCATATCTGTGTTTTATTTATGGAAACACACTGTCCAAAGATTGATTTTCCAGCCGTAGAGTCCAAGGTGATGATAAAGGTAAATATTTTATCAAGAGCCTTCTTTCAGTAAGGAACATTTGATTCCCCCATAGTCTTTCCTCCCCCCTCCCCCCTCACACCATTTCTTACAAGCAAGAAGACTGCTACCACTTACCTTGTTTATCCACTCTCACATCCTCAAATACTGAAATCAGATATAAAATAAAATTAACGTCCAACCAAAAGAAGAAAAAAAAACCAAGCTTAATGTTCAGAAAAATCACTACTCTACTTCTATTCTACTGTTGCATGCAGGTAATTCAAAGAGGAAACAGATTAAATCCAGCATCCCAACATACACACACTGAGCGAGGGGGAAAAGAGAGGTGAAATGCTGTCTCAAACACGCAGGAATGAGTAAGCAAGAGAGAGCAAGGAATGATTAACACTGCACGCTTTTGGGCTACAGTGTGTACAAAGTGCTAAGTGCATGCATCGGTTACGTATTTGCAGTGATTTAGTGAAAAAGATGATCAAAACCAAACCACCAATATTACTAAATCTGATAAAAACTTCAAAAGCAGCATTTATTTTTGCTTCTAATTGATAAATTGTGTTTTCTTCTCATCTTTTACTACTTATCTTTCCCTACTATGGACTAAAATTTGGCACTAAAGAAAACTGATTGGTTCATTCTACAAAAAAAGCATATTAAAAAGGTTTATATGAACCCAAAATAATGTGATTTTCTTAGCTACAGATTACAAATCCTAATTTAGGTGCTTTTACCCTCATGTACATACCTGCTGAATGACTATAGTTTTACCTAAGCATCTCAACATTATGTATGTATGTATTATGTATGTATTAAGTCAACATGCAGACAGAAAGAGTAAGTGAGCAGAGGAGAAAAAAAACATCCACAACAGCAGAGTTAGGCTTTTAGGAAAAATAGGAAGCGGAGAGAGACGAGAGGACTTTACTACCGCTTTGTACTTACGGGATGACACATTTATAATTCTGGTGTCCACGCCAAAGTCATTGGACACTGTACACGAGACAGTCATATTTGCAGTAGGCACGACTACGATCTTGTGTGTTATCTTTCCGTTGACGAAGGGACTCTCATCAAGCTGAACAATCAGAGAAGAAAAGCCACAAATGTTAGTATTTACATATCACACTGTAGGATTTATAAACCTGCAACGGCACGAGAAGTGGAATTATTTTGTACCACTAGGGGGGGACGTTGGATTGTAATGTGACTCAGCCTTTCCATGACAAAGACACAGCATGTGAGCCTCTGGGATATAGACACTTGAGTCTCAGAGGAGAACCTCAGACACAAAGACAAACTGCCAACACCCTTTTCACATCCTCTACATATACAAGCGGATGTAGCAATTTTGTAAATACCCATTTCTGAGTCTGCATTCAAGCCGTACATTATTCTCTCTGAATAGGCTTTAAATGTTGGGACGAGAGAGGAGAAAAACATAAACTTTGACTGAAATGTAAAAAACGTGTGTTATCTCTAAAATGCATTGTCCTTCAGTGAAAGAGTTCTGGGCACCTTTGTAACTGATTAATTATTGCACACAGGTTCAGGCTGTGAGGTGATTTTTTAGGTTAGGCACTGACTGAAAGGGCTGAACAGAATTGAAAACATCCTACAGACACCCTCAGGTTCATATGTAATTCAGACTGCTTCATTGAGTGGGTCTGCTATCAGTGTGCACACAGGTACGCCACAGAAACAAAAGAGGAAAAAGGCCTATTTAAAAGAAACTGTCTTCATGACAGTTTGGTGCAAAACACTGTTTTTGAGCCTGTGAGAAAATGAAGAAATTTACTCAACCGCTAAGAAATGTTTGGACTAGATAAGTTCAAAAGTGTGACAGCTGGGGAAAATACTAACAGTGCAAACTGCTATGCACATAACAGGGAGTATTCACTCACTCTGCAGTACAGGGTGAGTGGCAAAAGCAAAGCAAGAGCTGTCTCAGGACCATGCTGGCAAACCCTGGACTGTTTTGCTTGGTCTAAGAGGAGGAGGCTTAAACAGACTGCATCTGTTTAGTCACACTTTCCCATCTCTGCTGATGCTATTTCAGAAGCAGTTTGATGAACCAAACTGAATATAACCCTTAAGTGTATTCAGTGTCCCATTCACCTTCTGCAGATAGACATAATCTACAATATGTCTTGGCTACTGTGTTGACAACACTCAGATGCTGCTGACTAAAGACATCTGCAGTTGTTACTGCTGGAAAAATCTGCTATCTCCCATCTTACATAAGAAGACCATGGTTCATGAATTTCTGTGAAAACTAGTATTGATTTATCAGCAAAACAATGACTGCTTTCATTTATAGCATGATGTTTATCTGTCACCCTTAAGTGTGTTTGTAAGTGGCAAGGGAAGGATCTGAAGAATAGCCAGTATGTGTGGTAACTTGTAAAAGCTGATATCCATCTTGCTGCGTTGCAACTGCCATAGATGATGCTGACAATAAATTCTGTGGTTCAGTTATCAGAATGAGCCATAAGCCCACCAGTGTCACATGCTGGCACATTTTGCCAGTTTCGCAATGACTGATTTAAGCTAAGAGCAAGCTTCTACGACCAAGACCACAGCCATTTTTTGCTGTAGCACGTGAAACAATGCGGATTTCAGTTTTAAAGGTATACTTGTTGAGATTTTCTGCATTTTATTCAGCAATAGCCCTTCAATGTATTTATGTATATTTATTACCACCAGTTTTTAGTCCTACACACAAGGGATTCACAGGACTCGACTTCTTCATCAAAACAACATGTGTTTGCTTGGTTGCGCTGTAGTTGGTCTCCTGTTATTTCTGACAAAGGAGCTGCTCAAGAGGTGTTTGCTGTAGTATTAAACCACATTTAATGTTACCACGGTAACCATGGGTGTTTCCAAATGAAGACAAAACTTTTAAATGGGCTTGTGAACAATACCCCTTTGCAAAAAATGGGGAAATATGGCATGAACTATTCACAATGGCAAAGTACACCTAACATGAATTTGCATTCAGTCACCACAGTGTGTGCAGGCTAGCAGATCAAAGTTGCGTAACTGTCATACACCCTCACTAACAGCTCCGCCAATACATCATTGTCCTAAAACTGGTCAAGATATCAAGTGCCTACAGTATGCTTGTTTTTACCCACTGCTTCATAATTGTAAGCTGCATCTGCTCCCACTAAAACTCCAACGCTATTGCATGGACACATTCAGCCGAATGCAGCGAATTCGATTTTGTTAACTGCATCTATTGATCTAGAAAGGCCTGCGTGTAACTATATTGGGGATATCACAGAATCTCGTGAAGCCTAGATGATGTTTGACACCTCCAACCATCCAGTATTGCAACCCAAACGTCTTACGTTACAAAACAGACCATTGATGAAAAGATGGTTTTACTACATATAATATTTTCCCACTTAGTTCCTGTGTGACAATACGCAGAAGAACTACTACATTAACATTTACTACTGTATTTGTTAGTGTTAATAATACAGCATGTTTCCTTTCTGGGTTTCTTAAAGCCTAGCGGAATAAAAAGAATTTTCTGTGCGCTGGCACAAAGGGAGCTGAGTGTTCATCAAAAATAAAATCCTTGTGCAATCACAGTGAATAAATGTATGTGCAGTTATAAATAAATTGATAGATATGACCTTTAGAGATAGTAAGAATTATCAGTGGAACACTTAAATGTAATTACGATAAAGGCTAATGCTGTAAGAGTGCGAGTGTGCATACCGAGGTGCCATTGATGCTCCAGGAAACAGCTGGTTTTGGAGAACCTTCAGCCTCACAAATCAAGACTTCATGTTGGCCGTCTTCACCGCGCTTACTGGATATCTTCCTGATAACTGGAGCACCTGCAACAGGACGTAACTCTTCAGATACATCTGAATGAGAAAATGGTTTTATAATGGCTGCTTTTCATTCACGAACACACCCAACGTCACTGAGGAAAATCTTTGCTTAAAGGAATAGTTTGACATTTTAAAAAATCCCCTTGTTCACTTACCTTTTGCTGAGGGTCAGAAGAGAGAATACATACCACTCACATGTCTGTACAGGAAATATGGAGCTACAGCCAGCAGCCAATTAGTTAAGCTTAGCATAAAGACAGGAACCAGCTAGTCTAACTGAGAAAATCTGCCGCACAGCACCTCTACAAGCCCTTAATTAACAATCAACATGAAACAATATGTTAATTTGTGAACGTTAGGGGTAGTTTTTAGGTAGGTTAGGGTTAGCTGCAGGCTGTGGCTTCCTATTTGCTGTATGGACATGAGAGTGCTGTTGATCTTTTTGTCTAACTCTCAGCAACAAAGCAAATTAGCATATTACCCAAAGCCTCCGAGCTTCCTTTAAGTCCTTACCTTCGACAACCAGCTCAAAAGAAGCTTTCCGGCTGAGGGGCCCAATTGACACTTCACACTCATAGCGACCGGAGTCCGCGTAAGTCACCTTGGTAAACTTGGGCTCTTTGTCCAGTTTAACATTATTCTAAAAAAAAGAGGAAGAATATTAACACTGTTAATAACAACCACTGAACTTGTCTTCATTTATTTCGGCTTTGTTGTATAAAAGATTGCTTTTACCTTTGTCCATGAGACCTTTGATTCCCCAGAAGCATCAATCTGGAGAGTTATATCCAAGGTCTCACCGGCACTCTTGACGATATTTCCAGAGGGGTTTAAATTGATGTCTAGGTCTAAAAAGAGAGGTGAGGACGGTGAAAAGATGGTTCAGAGGCCTGACAA